TTTTATAGCATGTTCTAATAAAAAAAGAGTTCAAAAAAAAAAAAACTATAATAGTATATCAATGATACTAAAATAACACTGAGAGAGACTGGGGACTTTTCATATCATGATAATACTTGATTGTAATACTTTTATCACAGAAGTTACAGACACTTACATGTTGTCCTCTTAATAAGAAGTTTACTAACTTTTTTTTATAACTTTGAACATTTATATGCAAAACAGTACACAAAATGTATAAAGAGTGTAAAAAGAACAAAACTATTAAGAACTGTAGAGAGTTTATTACTATAAATCATATTACCGAATGACTGCTGGGGACATTTTAAAAATGTCAAAAATAGCACACACAGTCTGGTGTGTGATGCTGAAGAGTGTGTGTGTGTGTGTGTGTGTGTGTGTGAGGGTGTGTCTCAGGAGATTGCGTGTAAATGTCAGTCCTCATCTCGGCGCAGCAGCTGTTGTTTCTCATCTCCAGCTCTTTAAACTCTGTTTCTCTCAGGACTTTCTGGCAGCATGAACTACGACGAGGCCAGTGAGGATGATGATGATGATGATGAAGCTGAAGAGCCGAACACAGAGAGCACTCGTCCTGCGTCGGCCTCCAGCACCAAATCCACCACGGTCAGACAGACACAACAACCTCCACACAAACAGAGTCACGCCGTTTTGGGCAAATGGACTCTTAAGTGTCTGCGTATTTCTGCTAAACTCTCAGTGCTCCGCGAGCATTGCTATAGTGTTGTCCTACAGCAAACTCTGTCTTATCATATAACTGTCAATTTACAAATAATTACAATATAGTATATTATATATATTAGTAACTATTGTAAACATAACATTTTAGTGTATTATATTAAACCGCAATGCTTCAGTGAATTACAGAAGCTTTAAATAAAAAGCTAAATAAAAAAATACCATTTTGTTTTTCTAATCAAAATAAAAAATAAATAAATTGATTAAAATAAATAAATAATGGGAAAATAGCTTCAAATAAATAAATAATAAAAGTAGATTAAAATAAATAAATAATGAAAAAAGATTAAAATAATAAAATATTAAAAATAAAAAATGATTAAAATAAATAAATAAATAATGGGAAAATAGATGTGTGTGTGTGTGTGTGTGTGAGTGTGTGTGTGTGTCTCAGGAGGCTGTGTGTAAATGGCAGTCCTCGTCTCAGTGCAGCAGCTGTTGTTTCTCATCTCCAGCTCTTTAAACTCTGTTTCTCTCAGGACTTTCTGGCAGCATGAACTACGACGAGGCCAGTGAGGATGATGATGATGATGATGAAGCTGAAGAGCCGAACACAGAGAGCACTCGTCCTGCGTCGGCCTCCAGCACCAAATCCACCACGGTCAGACAGACACAACAACCTCCACACAAACAGAGTCACGCCGTTTTGGGCAAATGGACTCTTAAGTGTCTGCGTATTTCTGCTAAACTCTCAGTGCTCCGCGAGCATTGCTATAGTGTTGTCCTACAGCAAACTGTAGCAAACTCTTTCTGTCTTATCATATAACTGTCAATTTACAAATAATTACAATATAGTATATTATATATATTAGTAACTATTGTAAACATAACATTTTAGTGTATTATATTAAACCGCAATGCTTCAGTGAATTACAGAAGCTTTAAATAAAAAGCTAAATAAAAAAATACCATTTTGTTTTTCTAATCAAAATAAAAAATAAATAAATTGATTAAAATAAATAAATAATGGGAAAATAGCTTCAAATAAATAAATAATAAAAGTAGATTAAAATAAATAAATAATGAAAAAAGATTAAAATAATAAAATATTAAAAATAAAAAATGATTAAAATAAATAAATAAATAATGGGAAAATAGATTAAAATAAAAATTAAATAAATGTTAGATTAAAAATTATAAATAATACAAATTTAATTAGAATAAATTAATAAATACTAAAACATTAGATTAAAAATATAAATACAATTAAATTAAAATAAATGAATTGATTAATAAATAATACAAATTTGATTAAAATAATAAAAATAATAAAATATTTAAAAATATATTTAAAATATTATGTAACAATTGAAATAAATAATAGATAAAAAATCTAAATATACAATTAAATTATCAATTTGTTTAAAATATAAATAAATAAAACTAAGTAAATAATAAAAAAGAGATTTAAAATAAATTAATAATAATTAAAAATTGGAATAAATAAATCAATAAAAACACCTTAATAATGGTGGACCATATCAATATTGCTTTGTCCTGTTGTGTAACACTGCCTCAAGGTTTCATTTTGTGCTTAATTTTCTCAGAATTTCCATACACTGCGCTGCATTGGAAGTTGCAGTGGCCTAAAAGCGGAAGCGATTGTGCATAGAGTCCATTAAACTCTGAATATTAAACTGGGATATGGGAAAGTATTTCATTCAGTTTGTGAACTTTCCTCATGTTCTCAGAGACAGAGATGAAAATCATGTTGCACCCTGTGAGAATAATGAATGATATGTCTGTTAGAGGACTAAATGTGTGTGTTTTGTCTTCTGTCTCGTCAGGAGTGTCTCCCGCTGGGTTCTCCGTCGGCTGAGGGCTCCTCCGTTGAGGTGGATAATCTGGAGGAGTTTGTGCTCCGTCCGGCTCCGCGGGGAGTCACGGTCAAGTGTCGCATCTCGCGGGACAAGAAGGGCATGGACCGTGGCCTCTATCCCACGTACTTCATGCACCTGGAGAGAGAAGACGGCAAGAAGGTCTGATCTGAACGCATCGCATCCTTCACAATCACTTCTGCTCACGTTTAATCGCTCTCTCTCTCTTTCATCAGGTGTTCTTATTGGCCGGACGCAAGAGGAAAAAGAGCAAAACATCCAACTATCTGATCTCTGTAGACGCCACAGATCTGTCCCGTGAGGGCGAGAGCTTCATAGGAAAACTGAGGTGCCTCTCTGGTGTTTTTTGTCTGGTATTAAAGGGTTAGTTCACCCAAAAATGAAAATTAGCCCATAAATTACTCACCCTCAAGTCATCCTAGGTGTATATGACTTTCTTCTTTCAGACGAATCCAGTCGGAGTTATATTAAAAATTGTCTTTGATCTTTCAAGCTGTTTAATGCCACTCAGCGGGTGTTGCATGCATCAGTTCAAAAGAAGTTAAATAAAAAGCGCCCATCCATAAAAAAAGTCCCTCACGCGGCTCCGGGGGGTGAACAAAGGTCTCCTGCAGCGAATCGATGCGCAATAATAAAAGTAATACAAAATGTTAAAATAAATTATAAAAAATTATATTTAAATAAAAAAAGTAAATAAATAATGAAAGATAGATTTCAGTAAACAATAAAAAATAGGTTAAAATAAAAATATAAGTAATACATCTAAGTAGAAAATATGTAGTAATTTAATGTAATAGGTACTAAATATTTTCTAAATAACATTTTACACATTTCTAATATGAATTTTTTCACAGTATAAATCTTTAAACATGAAAATATATAGCTGCCTTTTGAATTTTAGGATGGCGTCTAAAATTGGCGAAATTGTGTATATTTTTTACTGAATAATTAATGTGCTTTATTACACATACTGATAAAAAATGTATAGCCTGAATGCACTGTAAGTCACTTTGGATAAAAGCATCATACATTTAATTTAATTTAATTTATTAAAAACACAAGCTTCACATTTGTCCTTTTAACCCTTCGCTGCCCAACTCCACGACTGAAAACACATTTTGATTGCGCTGATGTTCTGCCTCAGATGCTGTCCATAGATCAGGAGTTGATGATGTTCAGTGTTCACCGCAGGTCTAATCTGATGGGAACCAAGTTTACTGTGTATGATAACGGCACGAATCCCTCGAAAACCCCCGGAGCGCTGCTGGAGGAAACCAACACACGGCAGGAGCTCGCCGCCATCTGCTACGTCAGTGTGTCTCTGTTCCTCTCTGTTTCTGACTGTTTTTGCCCATTTCTTATTGCTGTGTGTATTTGTGTTTTTAGGAGACCAATGTTCTGGGCTTCAAAGGGCCGCGGAAGATGACCGTCGTCATTCCTGGCATGAACATGAACTTCGAGCGGGTTCCGGTTCGGCCCGCGTGTGTGAGTGTCTCCGCTCGCAGCTGTCAATCAAATCATCAGGATGAGCGCTGCTGCTGATGCATGAACGCGTGTGTGTTTCAGGAGCAGGAGTCTCTGCTGAGTAAATGGCAGAATCACTCGCTAGAGAATCTGATCGAGCTGCATAATAAAGCGCCGGTGTGGAACGACGACACGCAGTCCTACGTGCTGAACTTCCACGGCAGAGTCACACAAGCCTCCGTCAAGAACTTCCAGATCGTCCACGACAACGACCGTAAGTTACCTCAGATCTGTCACACGTCAAGCAGTGTGAAATATATACACACATATACATATATACATATATATATATATATATGTGACCCTGGACCACAAAACCAATCAATTTTTCGAAATTGAGATTTATGCATCATCTGAAGCTGAATAAATAAGCTTTCCATTGATGTATGGTTTGTTAGGATAGGACAATATTTGGTCGAGATACAACTATTTGAAAATCTGGAATCTGAGGGTGCAAAAAAATCTAAATACTGAGAAAATCGCCTTTAAAGTTGTCCAAATGAAGTTCTTAGCAATGCATATTACTAATCAAAAATTAAGTTTTAATTTTTTCTTTTTTTTTCTGCTGTTGTGATTGTGTGTTGGTGTGTTTGCAGCTGACTACATCGTGATGCAGTTTGGACGTGTGGCGGAGGACATCTTCACTCTGGACTTTAACTACCCCATGTGTGCCCTGCAGGCCTTTGCTATCGGCCTGTCCAGCTTCGACAGCAAACTAGCCTGCGAGTGACCATGTGACACGCCTCAACCGTACACGCACACACACACACACACACACACACTCACACACACACACA